ACAGACGTATTACCACATAACATATCAATGTAAGCCTTCTTTCAAAGTTCCAAATATGTAATCTTAGTTCCCCCTGCCATGCAGTATCAAAATTTCAAGAAATAGGCAAAATTAGCAGAATCTTCGACAAATGTTTTCATGAAGCACCTTTCATATCTGTCCATATCACTTCTACTTTTATATACAACGTCGTTCCGATTGTAAAAAACAAGACAGAAAACTGCAAATTTGTTATTGAATCAAGAAGAACAATGTCGATGATTACACTTGTCACAAGCTCGTGTTATAATAGCCTTGAATGGCTGGCTGCTGGAGCTTTTATCGCAACACAGAAAGATGTGTTCATTGCATAAAAATATCTTGAAGAAATAACAAAACGTTTTTTCCTGCTGCTATGAAATGGAAATAAAAAGTCTAAAATAATTCAACCAAATTAAGTGATAATATACTTCAATAGATTGAATCCTATTTTGAAAATGCAAATTCAGTCAGAAAGCATTTATTTTCTGATTTAAGGATTGTGAACCTTCGTCACCTTCCATAACGATACATACACAGAAGGGATTAAAGAACGCACAGATTAAGCATGAAACTTGTGATATTTGTATTACGCTATTTCCTAACTGCATTATTACGATGAACTAAAGGCATTTGTTTGAATTGTATTCAAACGTTTTTGAAATTTCCTTTTAAATCATATGTAAACATTTTAAATGAATCCTTGAATCAGGCAGTTCAGAATGATCTATACTGGTTACATCCCGTTGTCGAATCATATAACGTTACATGATACACAGACAATTTCTGCATGGTGAGTTGACGGTATATGTGATATATATTTAAGAATCATCAAATTATCAGGAACGAAATCGCTTTTACAAACAGTGCCGATATTTTTTATATCTACAAATTCATAGGAACTGGTAAGAAATTGAACATAAAATGTATTAGGAAGGTGTTAATAGGTAAGCTGTGAATGGTTGTAATGACTTTGAAAATCGGACACTGCACTGTTTTTTTTAAGACTCGGCACTTCTTCAGCAATCCCAACACCCTACGTGTATATGGAGTGGAAAGCCTCCCGATGTGACGATAACTGGTACGTGTCAGGGTAATTGTATTCATAATATATCAAAGAGATAAACTTTGTTATCACCTCTGTTATGCATGACACCTGCATAACAAAATTAATGCATTTGAAATATATAAAGGTGGTGTTTTAAATAAGAATACACGCTTTCTCTCCATACCTCCGACAAATCGATGTAGCACATACATTCAGTAACGCAAAAGGAAAAACATAAACCCCTCCTGGTGGATACCCAATAACCTCATACAGACTCCTTAGCTCTTACTTTAGGGCCAATTGCCAACGTGTTCCCTAAACTGTGCATTTATTAATTGCGCCTTCACGAATTTTCGTTAACGACAAGAACGCTAACACAGCAGTAACCTTTCATGTATTTCTTCTATTGTCCACAACGAATTCTCACAACATTCTGGATAGACATGTTATCGAAACGTTACAAGTAAAGTAATCATGTACAGCATGTTCAGATGACTTTCAGGTGTCGTGCAAAAACAACGTTATTTCAAGTCACAATCAAAGCACGCTGTTATTTGTGTTTCTAGTGGTGACGTACGATTATGACTAAAGTTCTGTGGATGAAGTCCTTTCTCAAAGTTCTCTCGATCGCCATCAAAGATAGTAACGTTACACAAAGATCACTCAGATGATCAACCAGAAGAATGTTTAATGAAGCCCAAAACAACAACAATGAAGCAATGAAAATAACGAACTTGATCAAGTGAGGTTTTACTCAGTTCAACAGCGAAGGGGAAGATGTGTCATCGTTAAAGGATATGCTATCGTTAGAGGAATTACATAATGAACTTCGGCTATTAAATGTTGTTTACATTGGTGTTGTGTACTACAATTGATGAGGATGGTATCAAATGATTAATACACTTCTGTTTATCAGTTTATCCTCGACCAGTTTTTTTAAAATCATTTTAGTTTTTGGGATATATTAATGTCTTGCCATTAAACAATACATAAAACAACATAATTTTTATTTCTTTTTTTTTTTTTTTTTTTATTTGAAAATTCGCTAACTCAGTAGTATCAAACTTAGATCTTAGTCTCCCCAGAAATCAGAATATTGAAATGTGTGTCTCGTTTGGTAATATTTTAAAACCGTCGAATACTATTCTACATATGGCACACGCTAAAGCTATAAGAATTTCCTACGCCATTCTTTTAATCTGATCACGAATGAAAACTGTCATTGCTTTTCCGTTCTTTAGCCATTTTTAAAACCAACTACATGAAACATGCTCAACATATTACTCTTGTGATGTAAAAGTAATGTCTACTGCCGATGTCGATTTTGTTCTCTATTGTCATCATATATTTCCTGAGAAATGCTTGTATTCTGATAACTATTTACTAGTAAAGGACGTGTGATCGATACTTGGTTACTTTTACAGTGAATGTTCATAAAGAGAAACCACCTTTCAATAATTGAAACAAGAGGCCCAGTGGGCATGCAGCGTTCACCTGGTATACATTAAGTAAAAAATGGCCAAAATAGATAAAATTTGAACATTTGCATAATTTATGCATATTTTGAATTACCACGGCTACCTCTGGAGCTTGTGATCAGAACTCTTAGGAATACAGATATATATACCGTCAAGTATAACAGTTTTCCGCTGGCGAAGAAATGCTTCTGAGAAAAGAGCGTTGTGCTCCAGAATATTTTCTTCAAAGGAACAATGGTTATTTTTGATGATTATACTATGAAATGAAATGCTTTCGAATTACTGAATATAAAGAAGAATATAAGCACGAAAAAGAGGGAAACACTAAACGAACTGCGAACAATTAAAGAAGGACGAAATGATATTGAAAACTAAATGGCAAATTAGTGAAAATATAGCATACCCTGGAAATTTGCACCTGATAATGTCTACAGTGATTTTAAATCCAGTCAACCTGAGGACAAAAATGTTCCTTCATGGGAAATAACTATGGGAGATTAAAATATCACTTAATAAAACATCGCTATTCCTGTCAGTAGTATTCTCAAACTCTTAGAAATTGTAAACACACATAAGGCTTTTGGATACGAAAAATTCCCTGGACTAATACACCAAAAAAATGCAGACTATATTTCATATATCCTGTATACAAGAACTTAATGCTACACATTACACATTTTCTGATTGTGTATCTGTTTTTAAATAATTAACACATAAGTAGTTATGTTATCGATCATCTAGAGTCCAACAAAAGGTGGGGTTCCTATAGAGGTCGGCCTAAAGAGACCACTCATCGATACATTGTGTCATCAAAGTTGGTTCCCTTTACTTTACATTTAATCCAATTAATCCATGGCGCACTTGCCTTATTAACTAATTACGGAACTAAATTACTAAACTGTGAACATCTAATGTCACAAAACAGATAAGAAAATAGTTATTCTGTCAGATTAGGAAAGTTCAAATAATAAACTAAATATCAAAATACTAAAGCAGTACGTATTACGTCGACATTTTTTATTTTTTTACGCATTTTGTGAACAAACAATATTTTGAAAGCCTTTCATTTTCAGTCCATTCAAAATAATTTAGCATATAGATAGCGTTATCTCTTACCCCATCTCTGCATTAAAAAATAGAAACTTCGCCATTTGTGCAAAGTGTTGATTTTTGGCCTTGATGTGCATCACCCTAGTGACTTGTTGAATGATAGTGGACATAGGATACCAAACTGTTAACTCCAAACCTTCATGTACACATGTGCCTTTCTTAATCTATAACAACCACTAGCACGGATACAAGTAATGCAAACCTGTCCTTGAATGACTATATCTGTCAATTATAATTAGGTCATTGTATATAATATGGCCGATAGTTACTCTTTAAATCAACAATATTTTGTCTATGTGGAATAATATATACTGGTTGAGGACAGTTAAGACAACTTGTGATTGGTTATCGTTCAGCAGTGAATCGCGAAGTGAATCAATGTTTGTATTAACAGTTCAACCTCCTGTTAGTTTTCCTGTTGGTTCCGCTGTTGTATACCTTGTTCTCATTTGAGAACGCGCCATAACTAACTTTTATTGATAAAGTATACATGGTGGATGTCGACGATGAAGCACAAGACGCTGAAAGTGCCGGAACACCTGGTCTTATTCTTCTTATACTTTTTCAGGAGTATGAGCGTAAATCTTGCTTTTGTTCATATTTTGCCCTAGTTTTGTGGAATTTGATTTTGGATTATAGTTATATTTTTTTCCATATTTGGTCTGATGCATTCTTGGTTGAAGGGGTACCAATTTGTATAAACGGTGGCTTTTGACTTTTGTCAGAGCATCCTGATAGATATGTATATATATATATATAACGTTGGATTTCGGCCCCATGTGATAGGAAGTATAGGGCCCAAAAGGCAAACAGAGCAAATTCTTTGGCATTCTTCTGTTGGATTTTATCTGAAGCAAGATTGAGTGAAGAGAAATCAATTTTGTATAAACGGCGAATCTCTTCAAATTGAAAATGTAGGTTTCCGTTGATCTCAAGCTTCATTTTTTATATTTACGTCAAACAGTTAGTGGTCGATAGTTGACTATCTTGGATTCGTGACTGATAAAGTTTGTGTTCGATTTTTTTTAGGTATTATGTATGTCATGGATATGTGTAGTTTACAGATGGTACCTAGCAGTCCTAAGTTCGGAGCTGAAAAAATGGCCCCAAATACGGCATCTTTGAATAGAGATTAAATGGGAACAGTAGAGAATATCAAACTGACAAAGGGTCAATATAAAAATCATACTTAGCACAAAGATCTCTGATAAATTTTGTAGTAAGGGAAAATCAATCAGAACTAATATCATTTAAACAAATGTTTTTATCATGTCTATTGAAGTTAATATCAACATATTTCTTCTATTTAGAATACACTTTATTGAATAAATCAAGCACAACTAACTTTACAGAACGATATGCCACATAGCCATGTATAAGGCAACACATGTCCCTGTAATCACCGAGTATATCCCAACCAACAGTATTAATCCACAGCAAATAAGTGTTATTTTCCTTTTTAATTTCGCTGCAAGTAACATAGGCTCCTCTTCATTGTATAACATCAACATCTTCATGGTAAAAGGAACGACAAGTGTGATGTAATTTGCGCAGAAACATCCAGTCAACGATATCAATAGTTGAAACTGCGGGATCAAAATTGTGAATGCACCTTGAAAGGAAATGAAATTTGAATTTTATATGTTTGAAGCTGATTGTCGATTGCATTGTGCATATGTCTTAATAGTTAATATGAACGACTGGCAGACTGTAATGAGAACATTAGGAAACGCTTTTCAGGGAAGGAGAGTTTATCACAACTTTAGTTATTGAGGTGACGTTCTGGGCCTGTGATCGTCAATTTCCTCAGATTAGTATAACGTGACCAGGCGGCATATCACTTTTTTCGAAGCCATGCAACTTGAACATACCGGCATTACAAAAATGGACTCCGATTTGTTTTAACGAGGTTAAATGATATGCAGTAATTGATCATTATCTTAACACCAGCTTTATACATAAATTATATCTACATATGTTGCTAGGATGATTTTAAGGTCTGTTAAGTCATTTTATTTATAGATGTAAAATGATTTGCGTTTGAACGATGTTGCATTGTGCATATGTCTTAATAGTTAATATGAACGACCATTTTTCGGTACACAAAAGGTTAACAATGGATAAGACATCAAACAAACATGCGAAAAATATAAGGCAAGTCACATCACTTGCATACAATCTATAAAGTTTATCATAAAACGGTAACGGCAAGTCATATAATAAGCAAGTTCATTAGATACACGATCCGTATTTTTAAAACGGTTTTCCATGTTCGTTTATGTTATACTTACAAGAAAGAATCAGCAGAATACCTCGGCAAATATACTCGCCATAGTTCTGAACGATCGCATTAGTGAACTTCTCCTTCAAATATGTCCAAAGCATTTCTACTATTACAAATACGACTGTCCCGATTGTCAAATACGAGGTAAGAAATGAAAGGATCTTCAAGGACTTCGAAATCCTGTAAAATATACACAATATGTAAGTCTATTTGTAATATGTTTCTCCTTCATATTTACTTTATTTTACTATTTCACTCAACTATCATCAGTTTTTGTACTTATTAAACAACATTTCACTCACCCGTCCGTAAAGGGAAGGATAAGAGGTTTTGTCCTGTTAATGATTTTTATTGAAAAAATAAGATTTTATGGACAAATTCTGTATGGATTCTAGATGCGCAAGACACATTTTAATCATTATCTTCTGTATAGAAATATTCTATATTTAGCTTCCAATACATACAATAACATCTAATCGTAGTCCTTAATGAAATTGCTATTTTTTGTCTATACACATCAACTAGGAACTATATTAGTACGATTTTAATGTTAAATATTGTATATGGTACTCCACATGCTACGTTTCGACCGAGTGACAAGGATTCGTAAAAGATTTGTGTGGTTTTTATGTCAGTTGGCAAGACGTCCAGTGTTTTATAGCGCCTTTTTTGTGTGTTAGAATATCTTTGAGCGAATAATTTGGTATCTTCTGATTAATAAACGCCAGGACTGCACCGCTGATCCAAGCTTAAGATATCGCAACTTGTAAATAAAACTGGCCAAGTTTTGTAAGCTTGAGAATAGTTTACAGTCAACTTATTTCTCACATGGTAAGCTGGAAATACTCCAAAAGTGACACAAAAAGGGCTTGTAAACACGTTAATCAGTAATGGAACTACATGGCGTTGTTGTTAACATAAGGAGATGCCTCGTTGAAGATTCGAGACTCTTACTTATACCGTCTTTCCAAAATTGAGTCCTGCTTCTCTGTAGATCCGTACTTCCATTAGATTTAGTCCCTTCACCCATGGATATGTAAAGATTGCAGGATTTAATTTGTATTTATATAATGGTGGGAAATAGATACAATGCATGCTAAAGAGAAACAAATATGACTCGAGGATATCTGTATCGGGCAACGGACAGCCATTTGTAAGAGACGCATATGCGATAACAACAATAACAAGGCTCTGCTAGGGATACACTTATTCCTCGGGGAGATAAATTGAAAAAACACGTTATGAACTGTTTCCGGAGACTTCTATCTAAATACTGCATTTGTTTATATAAACACTTAGTTTAGTCCGATATGTCTATAGCTGGCCATGTCCTTCTTCTCTTTACTATTGAAACTATTTTGTGCCGGAGATCACAAACTAATGTCGGATTGTAAACCTTTAACGATTTGCTGTTATTTGATTGTGGTCTGATAGGCATCATTCAGCTAGATTGAATCCACTACGTCTGACCAGGGTTGAAATATAGATGTTCAGTTGGTAAGCTTGTTTGATATATAAAACCCAAATAATGATAATTTACCCTTAACTGCATTTCCAGCTACTAATTTCTAGTATCACCCAGGATTGTAAGACATTGGTTCCAACTTCTGGAAGTTTATTTTATGTTAACGTCCTCAACCAAACTTGATTTCGACAATTGTAACGGGAATAGGAAACGTTGTAGATATTGAAACGAAATTTGATTAAAACACTTATTGCAACAGATTATGAATTTCAAAGATAACACCCACACGCCCTTTATCAATGGAATTTGAATTTTCTCAATTTTTCCTTTTTGTTCGAAGACGTCGGAGACCAACCATTTACACACAATCTGTTCTCCTTTAATAAACATGCTCCAAATTTGTCATTCAAAATCCCTTCTTCTCTACAGGACTTTAACGTATATAATCTATTTCCACTATTTGTCTCCATCCCTCCGCTCACAGGGGGTCAGACCCACTATTAAGTGCTTTAACCCAAGGATGCTTCAAGCTAAATTTGAACAAAATCCTGTCATTTACACAGAAGGGTATTAAATAGTTGCTTTATATCTCATGTTTGGTGCTTCATTGTCAAAATGTAGACGGCCGTTTGCTTGTTTCACTGATTAGTCCTAAAAACAAAAGGGCAAAACTGTGGCCAAAGGAGAACCTATATATGCAGTCCGGAAAAATGTTTTCAATATTTACCAATTACTACTGATAACAAACTCCAATTTCAACTTCAAGATGGCCATTGGGTACCTATACATGAAGTCCGATTTAATATTTTACCACCATGTAAAATTTACCTATAATGTGAATGTTTGTGGGTAAATCTTACCAACCATCTTCTGTTAGATTCAATATATAGTTCACTTGTGTTAATTCGCCAAATTTTAGGTATCCAAAAAATCCACAGGCAACATGAAAGCTGACAACCATGACAAGAGCAAGTCCCAGCACACCATTCCAGCCGTCAAAATGTTTAGTACTCTTCATTCTGGATCGTATTGGCAGCACCTAAAGTAAGGTAACAAGCAAACATTAAGTTCATATCAACGATTTGATCTCTTCTCTGTTTTGTTTCCAATTATCCACTGACGATGTAATGGCAAGTGAATTATTACATGGAACCAATAAACAAGATAACTTACCAAGGAAAAACAAAAATCTTACTGGAATTGTAGGGAAAATGCCCTGATGAGAACATCTCTAGACCAAACGTCCGGAACACCTGGTCTGTCCTCATCAATATTCAATGGGTAAATGTTTTAGTCATGATCACAGTTTAATTAATGGAGTATTTGAAATACAATTTTGTTAATTTGTTGAGAGTTTCTTTAGTCTCAAAACTGAATATGCACAAGTAAGAAACATTTTAAAATACATATGCCAAACTTCAAGCGCCTAAATCCAAGATGGCCACCTGTCGGCATTGTAGTTGTGTAATTGGTTTGCCTGTTGCCCGTATAATGGGACTGTGTGTGGTAGCTAATGTCAACTTCAGTTCAGAAACAACGACACACTTGAATATCGCAGCCTCTCGGAAACGCACACAAGTCTAATTCGCATATATAGGGAGGCAGTACGTAAGTGATTATTCCTAATTAATAACTTCGAAGTAATTTTAACCTGAATAAATATCGGGGATATTGCACGAATACTAACTTTTCTGTAATTCATGAAGGCCGCCTTTTCGATATTATGTTTTAAAGTCGCTCCAAAAACTGATCACAATATAGCTTTTGAGTGAGGGTAATCTGGTTATGTAAACATAGGATGAGAAAATGCATGTTACGTTGTACACCTTGTGTATGTGTCTTACCATAGCTATTCCGTCATATGAAAACATAACGTCATTCATGAACGATGTTATTGTTAAGAAATCGATGAACTTGGTAGCTGATCTCGAGTTGATATCCGGAAGGTCTCGACAGATGTATTTGAAGGATATGATGATTATCAAAAGAAGAATAATATTCCCGGCTGTTGCTAAATACGACAGTAGTTTCATTCTCCTAGTCAAGTAGACTGGCAACAGTAGCACCGAAATTACAACAATCAGCAACGTGTCGTTGATGTCGACGTATTGATGTAGTATCTAAAAGGAAAGCTAGATTAGTGACGGGATAATGTTGCAAAACGGTAAAAGTTACAGATTAATAAATCAAACTGGTAGTTAATTTTGTGAATTGAGTGTTTTTTGTTAGATCTCGTTTCATCGGTTAGCTTCACAGTTGCCGAGACGCATACTGGGGAAATATGATTGTGATATTGTGGTGTAACTAATTTGTTAATTATAGTTTACACGCATCATTTGCGTTATTTCAGTCGTGTATTCTATAGCAGTAATCATAGACTTACGCAGCTAATGCAATTCATAATGTGCTATCTTCCATGCCAAGCAAATCTTTTATCAATTGTTCCTTTTACTGTATATTTACAAGCATAGAAAAGACAATTGCTCCGCAGATTATACAAGACACAGAAGTGAACAGCACCTTTTCCTACAAAACAGTTAGATAAAAAAGTGCCAAATAATGGATTAAGCTGCACCATGCAGGTGTTTGTCCTTCTAGGACTCGTCAGTGATGCCAAGGGCCTAAACTATGAAGCCTAGAAGATGATTGAGAAAAACCCAAAGCAATCGAAAGAATTGGCGAAATCTAGAAGGAGAGGTGCATGAATTCCATAATTAAATCAGTAACATATTCTAGAGTAAGGTCAAGTACATATGTTAAACACAAACTAAGACATCTTTACCTACATCTTTAGCAAAAAGATTCATTGTAGCAATCAAGTCAGGTAAAAATAGAATGTAGCTGATGAATATTGTGCAGGTAACTGAAAATCTGAAAAAAATAAAATCACACCATTATTTGTTTCAAAAGAAGAATTGGTAACTGGCTGAATATATCTGTAATGTCTGCGTACTACAAATATAACTCGGTAAGTGGTAGTCCAGGTTGTGAGTAAAAATCACAGCTCGTAATTACCAGGACACCATAGCTGTCAGTTTGCAACACCATGCATTCAACTTGGTATTAAACCTTCCGTTAAATTGACAAATTTTTCTTGACTGGGACTTATAGAATCCGTTACTACCTGTACGTGTTCGAGATCGATATACCCCAGTCCCGACATTAATTTTAATTGTGACGTCACTTAGCGATAAGTATTGGACGAGACAGAGAAAGATGCCCAATGGTGCTGCAACGTTAACCTGGCATATCAAGCTATTCAGTCATTTAACAAAGAATTCCGAAGATTTCTGAATTTTCCCTACTGGGCCCCCACGTTGGGGGCAAACAGAAATCAGATTCACTATTCATAAAAATTGCTTCACACCATACCGTATTCGACCCCATCCCTTCCACCCAAGGGGTCTGAATTAATTGTTTATACAAAACTGGTCCCTCTTCACCAAAAAAGATAAAATATGAGCAAAATACAAGCATTCCTACAGGAGGAAGAGTATCTTAAAGAATTTTCTCACTTTTCCCTATGCAGCCCCAGCCCTCCCTCCCTAAGGGGCCAAGATCCACCGTTTATACAAAATTTATTTCCTTTCATCCAAGACTGCTTCAGGCAAAATCTGGGCAATATCCTTTTATTCTTACAGTAGGATTTAAGAATTCACTCTATTAAAGAACTCACTCTATTCCCCTATTGGGCCCCGCCCCAGAAGACCAAACCTTCACGTTTATACAAGACTGATTCCCCTTCACCCAAGACTAGCTTACTTCAGACAACATTTGGGCTAAATCCATTCATTCAAAAAAAGGAATAGTATTTTTAAGAATTCACTCAATTTCCCCTATTAGGCCTTGCCCCAGGGGACCGAGACCTAACATTGATACAAGACTGATTCCTCTTCACCCAAGACTACGTCAGCCGAAATTTGTGCTATACCCATTCATTCCTACAGCAGGCGTAGGATTTTTAAAACTTGCAAAATTTCCAATTCTGGGCCCCGAGAACAATGTTTTCAAACTTAGTTCCCTTCCCTCTTGGAAGGAGTTTTAGTAAAAAGTTGATCGACGCTGCTCCATGACAAGCTCATCAGTCCTTTGGACCATCTAATATTGGGTATTACGTGAGATTTTTTGTACGAGGAGAAAAACTTATCTGTGTTAGCAGTAAGGATTAGACAACCCGTTATGAATATATTATAAGGTGGCAATTATCCGCAGATAGTCTTCATATGACAAGAGAGCTGTTAGTGAAACTAAATGAAATACAAGGAAATTCCTTCTGAATTTTAAATATGATGGTGATGTAATCACACTCTCAAGATCACTTTTTGAAAGTTTGGATGATAACTCATATAGAATTACATCACGTTGCACTTACTGGATCGATTAATTAATAAAATATATTTTTCTTAATCTAACCATTAACGTAATAAACATAAAAATTTGACCTGAACTTTCCAGCGTAAGATTGTAAACAAGGAGGCCCCAGCTTCATACTCATCTCGGCTACTCTCCCGGTATCACCAAAACTCTCACCTGTTCTATGACAAATAAAATAACAAAACATGTATCAGAGTTCAAAAAGGGATTGAGTACTTCAGGTTTTCATTTTCATAATAACAATATTAATTTTTAAATAATATCAAAGTACAAAATAAAACAACCCGTAGAGTTGTCAGAACACGTCAGTTCAAAAAATATACCTTTCAGTGAGACGAGAAGTACAATCAGTTAAAACCAAAGCTCCAAGCTCGTTCATAAACCCATATATTAGAAGTCCAGAACTCCCAAACTAAAATGAAAACAACATTGATTCCGAAAGATAAATAGTATAACTGAAAACAAATTAAAAAGAATATGTTTGATTCTATAATTTCAGTTTAAACAAAGAGTTTAAACCCCTCTACGTAAAGCGACTTTAATAGAAGTATTTCTACAGAAATTGTATCTTTTTGTCTAGATGGCGTCTAATATACCCGTCAATGCCTGTATATATTTATTACAGTTTGGATGTGATGTTATCTGGCAGGTGCTCGGTAAAGGACGCAGGAGAACGATTAAAGGGGAAATCCTTCGTTCATTTGCATGGAAATGTACTGAAAATACACATATGTATAAAACTGTATATATAAACCGATATTCTTGATACTTCAAGGCAAATTGAATATTTCAAATGTTTTGTAATTCAGAAACTTATAACCACTCAAGAAAAATATACAGGTTTCTCTTTGGTTTCTTATTTCAACGAAGGAACGTTCCTTTCAGTGTTTTGTATTTGTGAATACTGGAGTATGTGTTTGAAATGTATAACATCAAATGCGTGATAGCATGTATTGATAAAACCATACATTGTTTGTTCTGCAGTGTTTTAAAGTGTATCGGTGTCTGAGCAAAGAAGACCTCGTAACGTACTGTTTCTACTTATAACAACACACTATCTGAACAACCCATTAACACAGAAATAATATAAATACCTTAAAAAACGATATAACATTTTTGGGCATCAATGAAAAGGGTTTTTTTAATAATTGTATACTCAAACATTAGCAAACGCTTACTTGATATAAAGAATGTATTTGAATGCTAAGGTGAGCATGAAAGCTTTCGATCTTTTCAAACTATTTAATTCGCATTGCGTTCATTATGCATAGTTAACAAACAGGTAACAAAATACGAAATTATCGGTAATAAATTGACAAGGCCCTCCTTTTAGAAAGACTTTTCATTGGTTATCTAGTGTTGAGAGAAAAAGGATCGTGTGTAGTATATACTTGCCCATAACCCAAGAAGTTTGACCATATAAGGAAGTCCGGGAAACCCAATCCCAATATACGTTGGTATGAGAAGCATAAAGCCTTGAAAACTCCTGCAAATAAAAACGTGTAGTACAATTCATTGCGATTACACTACAAAAAATTCTTTGGTTGATCCCAATATTGCTAAACACAGGCTGCACGTGATTTCAGCCTTTGTGACAACATAAAAACCTTAAACTTTTTTTTCGAATTAGTATTAGTAAAATACTGCTTATTGCTAATAGTCTCTTGTTGGTGAAACCACAGGGACTATACATGCCCAACCCCTACTCCTCTTTTTTTGGCCGATTTTCTGTCATTCGGTCCTAACTGAGCTTTTTATACTTTTTCGTTATGCCTATGGATTGGTATATTAAAAAGTGTAACCTGAAGTTTAAAGTCTGTTTTGCCTTTCTGCATATTTATTGCACGTTGAATTTAAAAGTTTACATAGTAACAATCGTCGTGGGCTTTCACTTTCAGCAACATGTATCGATCATGATAAAGTTTCTTTTCTATAGAACTGTTTGGATTTTATCATTTTTACTTTGTCGTTTAAACTTACAATTGTGAATTTGTGGTTAAACGTCACTTCACATAGCTGTTCTTTCAACATAATTATATAAGTAAGTAATTTCGAATTCTGAAATGAGAACAACGGAACCAAGAGACAAACTAACGAGCATCAAACACGTCCTGTTTCTTATCGTAAAACGGAACCAAGAGACAAACTAACGAGCATCAAACACGTCCTGTTTCTTATCGTACAACGGAACCAAGAGACAAACTAACGAGCATCAAACACGTCCTGTTTCTTATCGTAAAACGGAACCAAGAGACAAACTAACGAGCATCAAACACGTCCTGTTTCTTATCGTATAACGGAACCAAGAGACAAACTAACGAGCATCAAACACGTCCTGTTTCTTATCGTAAAACGGAACCAAGAGACAAACTAACGAGCATCAAACACGTCCCGTTTCTTATCGTATAAAGAAATATTGTACTTCTCAATTTGATTATCATGTGATAACCATAAAACTTCCCCATAATTTCCATTAACTATTACATTTGACTTACTTCATTTTGTTTTAATATGAAGCCGAATTTATTGAAGAGCTTAGCAAAACAACACAAACATAAGGACCTTTCAAAGTCGTACAATTTCACGTTCAGATATATTGAGACAACATGGTCAGCTTTCCACCGAGCTGTACGATAAACGTGATGTTTCCCTTTCCCTATTGTGAATTTTTCATTCTTGCAAAGCAATTATACTGCATCCCCAACCTATAATGTTCTCACTTTGGTCGGTACTCAAGGGCCTGTTCCCATTATCACAATTTTCGTGCAAGAAGTCGTCAACTGACTGCCAAACTCGTAATACAGGGTTTCAAAATGCAGGATGGTGAAAATTATGGGAAAGGTTTAGGTCGCCATCTTGATCTTATTGAGAAATATTCAATGTTTTTGTACGATATAATGCTGAACTTGATTGGTGCTCGTTAGTTTGCCTGCTGGTTCTGTTGTTATACACCTTGTTCTCGTTTGGCTGAAGTAACAGAAATGAATTTCGATATTTAATGACAAGACGTCATCGATATAACAAAGTGATACTGAAGGACTTTTCAGGGTCTCTTTTGACCTCTTGTGATAAGCTCATCGATAAAGTCAGCGTCGTATGAAAACAAAAAAAATCTGCCAACAGCGGGGCACAGATAGTCCCCATAGGTATGTCAATAAACCACTGGAAAATCACCAAACTTTAACAACAAGAGTGTATCAGTGTAGAATGGGGTATGGTGGTGTACAGAGCAGGAAATCACAAGAAATGTTAGAACAGGGTGTTAAAATTGATCTTAAGCTCTTCGGAGTTTAAATAGACGTACTATTTATTCCACTTTTTGAGTAAACGGTATCAACTAACTGGACTGTAACCCAGATTTGAAAGTAATTGTAGTTCATGCTGAAATTTGTATCTGATGTCACTTAGCAGGGGTATATATAGTGATTACTTTGAACGTCTGTGCGTCAGTGATAATCTTTTATACAAGATATATCATGAACCCCTTAATATATTTACTCTGAAATAGATTCTAAGTTAGAACTGTGGAGGTTTAATTTGTATTTAAGAATGTCAACCATCTTGTATTTCTGTCCGGCCCGGAAAATAACGGCAGGTGGTCAGAACTATCTCCGGATATTTTATTTCACGTTTCAATTGAATCTCAAAGAAGAAACTGGAGAACTAATGTGTGACGAGGACGGCGCAAAATGACGGACGGAAAATAATGACTTTAGATCCTCCTGATCAAAGGTCAGATAACATAATAACATAATAACATGAGAAAACGACAATTAATTGCTTCAAAGAAAAAATGTTCAAACTATAATGAACACTTTGATTAGGCACTTACGTCAATGTATCGTCCTCTGTTTTCGTTTCTTTCTGTTCACGCTTTGATTGATCAGGACTGACTTCTTCCTTCGTTATACAATAATGGTATCCATTCTGTTCCTTATGTGGTAAATCAGTCTTTAAGGTAACGAGCTCCATTGAATGATAAATGAATTTGATCTTAAAGAATGACAGTCAGCTGCAGGCTGGCAGGATGTATCGGAGATAGAAGCCCGACTGCTTCACTGAATGGTATTTATAAGGTTAATTATTCATGCAAGCTAGTTTCTCTGAACGCTCTTATTTAAATATATTATACGGTTTGGCTAACCGTTATCAGCAGTGTCTACCACTTATGCAATCTCGAGTTTGTACAATAGAAACACATGTCAATATCATCTTTTAATACGACTTAAGATACAGTAGAGCTAAACAATGAATAAAATATTCAATATACTTTCACATGTACATTCTTCATGTTTGTTTTACATTTAATTTTGGTTTCTTAATCTTTGAAATATCAACTAATACATTATCCGTTTCATAATTATCACGTTTGGTTCGCAAATTGTTCATTGCCTCTGGAAATATATTTGGTGCTTATCTTTTTAACGAAAGAACTAGAATCAACACATGTATTATCTTAAATACGTTTAGCCACACTGAAGAGTGATCACGCCCGTAAATATACCAATATTAACACTAATTCTTCCTCAATCACCTTAATCAGGTCGTACATTCACACGTATAGCGCCAACATTACAGAGAAAGTAACAGAGAAACAAATCTCAGAAAAGGACCAAAGACAAAATACAGTACGAAAGTAATTTTATCATAGGCATGATTCAGATTAAGTGATCATTCATTTACCGAATTTTTTATTTGATTTAATTCCATTCTCCCGTTTGAATATTTGTGTATTTATAGTTATTTAAGCTTTCCCGGTTTCTTTTTAGAAGTGTTTTTACTTGTTTAATTCATCCTAAACAATAGGCTCCTGAAAATATTATATATCTATATGGCTAGTTTAGTGTGTTTCACTGGGGTATTGTTGACGATACGTAAAATGATACTACAGCAAAACAGTCATTTCGAAGGATGTAGCCATCTGCGTGTTTATAAAACATATTATTCTGGTGTTATATTACAATGATTCAACACTGGACAATTTTATGAATATTTAAATTTAAATGTAATCCAAACTAACGCAAGCTGTCTCGCCAATAACGGATTTGGTAACAAATAAAAGTAACGAAATATTGTTCACCATCATCAACAGGTTGTTACCTTCACTTCAGTCCACACAGTAACACCGACCCCTCCTACATAATGTTATTTGTTCGGTAGGTTAATGTACGGTGGCTGGTTTAGGACACACATTTTTTTTTTATTTAAGTCGAGCGCTCGACTTTCTATCTCGAGCGCTCGACTTTCTATCTCGAGTGCTCGACTTACTATCTCGAGTGCTCGACTTACTTTCTCGAGTTCTCGACTTACTATCTCGAGTGCTCGACTTACTTTCTCGAGTGCTCGACTTACTTTCTCGAGTTCTCGACTTACTATCTCAAGTGCTCGACTTACTTTCTCGAGTGCTTGACTTTCTATCTCAAACGCTCGACTTTCTATCTCGAGCGCTCGACTTACTTTCTCGAGTGCTCGACTTACTTTCTCGAGTGCTCGACTTAATTTTCTCGAGCTCTCGTCTTTCTATCTCAAATGCTCGACTTATTATCCGGTTAACATGTATCAGGTTACCACATGGATGCAGATGTGCAGGTAGGTTTATGTTTTTCACTCGTATTCCTTACAGTGCGAAATTTAGCGTAAATAATCACTACGTATGGTGCAGGGAAAAGGTATTTGGTGAAGATTATCCCATCGGACCAACGTTTTTGACAGAAATAAACATCGTTGATTTGGATTGATTTAAGATATCGGGTTTTTGCATCCCACCACAAAATGTATCGTTCAGGTAAATAATGTTTTCTTTTTTGTTTTTTCTTTGATCATCATGCATGAACAGCATCACAAAATCTAGTAAGAAACTTTGGTGGATCTAGAAGAGAGAATCATGACAATTTGTATCTAGCCTCCCCCCTTTCAAACCAAGTGTACTTTCAAGTACAAATCGCCTTAAAAGTTGTTAATGAGTAGATCCTACTGTAATTAGGTCTAGACATCATCTCCCAACGTATGGCGTCACAGATGTGCATGTATATACATATTTGCATTAAACCCTTACAAATTGAAAGATATTCAAATGATCGAAAATGTTAAATTAAGAGCTACTGAGCTCCTTCCAGGGATGCAGAACCTTTCATACATCGAAAAATTAAGGAAGTTGAAGTTCCAAACATCAAAGTATCGCAGGGTCAGAGGAGATTTAATTATTGTTCTCAAAATAATTAACAAAATTTTCAATAGAAGAGTCAAACAAAAATTATTCACTATGAGTATTACGAAAGAACTCGCGGTCATTAGATGTTCAACCGAGTTCTATCGCAAGTCCTCTTTACCCTCAGTAATAACACTTTGGAACAATATCCCCGAACAGATCCGCAGTAACACTTCATTATACACATTTACTAAATAGCTCAATCTTAACTCAAGCAACCGTCCTCCGGAATATTACTATGTAGGCAAGATTACGTCTCGAATGCAGT